CCTAAACATTTAATTGGGCGGCCAATTAAATTGTAAGGATTTGAAGGATTTTAGAAACTTTAATTGGGCGGGGCTGGGCTGGAGGCCGGAGGCCAGCATTTAAGTCTTTTAGAATCCTTAACTTACCGCCAACGTTACCAAGGGCCGCCGGGGACCGCCAACGGTAAGAAAAAAAAAAAAGTGCGGGCCCCAAGAAAGTAGGGCCACACAACATGCGTTTCAGCAACGGCCGAAGCTAGGGCTCGCTTCAAACGCATAGTTAGATCATCACAACCAAGTCCCATGCTGGAAGTAAGCTGTCAGTGACGAAGAACCGGCAAACCCTGCAGCCTAAACCCTGAAATTGTAAGGGAAGCCCAAAACCCTAGAGCACAGAGCCCTAAAGCCCTAAGGATTCTTCCTATATACACAGTCCGAGCTCATTACGGAGCCGTATTATCCTTGACGTTATCCTGTGACTGACGACTGTCCTCAGTTCATGTTGCGGCCGGGCCTCGTTCAGGGCCGAACGCTTTGGCAGCAGTCACAAAACGGCCCGCAGGTTCTTTGAGGAACGGCCTTAAGCCGAGTATGTCGAACCTGCCATGGCCTGTACACCGATTCTGGAGGAAACGTGCCGTGGATAAGAGACTAGGTTGGCCCTGCAAACCCTTCAGAGATATGCTGAATGAAGTCCCGTTCAGCCGACTGCGGCGAAGTCTACGATCTCTTCGGGCCCTACCTAGGGAAAAACAGACCATTGCCTCGTTTGCCCTTTGGGGCCTGCCGGCATTGGCCTAATGTAGGGGCCGTAATAGTTAGAATAGAATAGGGTTTCGGGGTTTTTCCTATACTTATAATAAGGAACCCCAAAATATTTTCGGTAATTGTTGAGGCCCCTATAGTAAAAATGCGCATGAGGGGCAGCTCGGTGATAAGCATGCGAGCTTGCATATCACATGCCTCCCCTGCGAAGGGCTCGCTGAAACACAAAGTGCATGAGAATCCCAAACCATCATATCTCCAATGCTCGAGCTTCGGCAAATCAAGTCTATCCCCACCGACACAATGCGCCTAAACCTTTAAACCAACATCCCAGGTCCTTTGTTGTCTTTACTTTGTGGGAGCCATGTGCTGCTCAACATGAGTGTTTGGGGGTACGGCTCAAGGGCTTTGCGGGTTGAGGCCGGCGTAAATTCTGTCTTAGCCCTCAAGACTCGCAACGCTTACCCCTCAACACGTTTGGGCCACCCTTCCGATTCAAAGTGCCGAATATAAGAAACTGTATCAAACAAAGCTCAGCTGGGATAAGGCAGGTTTATGGCGTGACGACCCGAAGACTACAAGCCCCGACGTAAACCTCTTGGCCAACAAGCGACCCAGATGCTTCGAATCCGGAAAAACCGCCGAAGACCCCCAAAATGGCGACTTAGTGATTAGAACAGGGTTTTCGGGTATATCATACCAGAACTATAATAAGGAACCTCCGTGGTAATTCTCTAGGCCCCTATATGACTGGACTTGCTCGGCAGTGGCTGCTCTAGGGCTGTATGGTTAAAGGACTTCCAGGATTCACAGGTTTTCCGGTGGTTTTCGATGGGGCGCACATCTTAAGTCTACGGAAGGAAGGGTTTAAGACTCCGAGCGATTTATGGCTCATGAACAAATCCGCAACACCGCACGAACAAACTCAAAAAGGGTGGGACAGCGCCATAGAATACCGCTGTCCTAGACTCAGGGTGTAAGGCTCCTCCCAGGGTTTTGTTCAGCTTTTTGGCTTAGGGTTTAGGGTTTAGGGTATAGTTCTAGAGACCCTCCAGGAATCCAAAGCAATAGTGGCATCAACGAGCCCTCAGTACCGGCTTCCAAGTATCTTCGATGGATTTCACTTGGCGCCGATTTAGACTTTGGTCATTCGGTAGCTTCAGAAAGTTCGGGGTCCCTTGTCCAGGGGTCCTGGCGCAGAGGATCTCAGGGTTTAGGGTTTAGGGTACATTGTTTCTGAAGCTCCCATTCTGTCGCATCGCCGAATGCGGAGTTTCTAACAAAAAATTTTGGGCCTTAGGCCAATATTGTATACCATGAATACACTCTGAGCTCTCGCCGTAGTTCTGACCTAGTAATTAGCCAGAAACCCCGATGGCCGAGTTCTCCAGGGGCCGAACAAGGATTCCACCACTAAGGTAATGATGATAACAACCCTAAACTTGGCCCAACCCTAAAATCCTAAACCCTGAACCTCTATATAAACCCGTAACGCAGCCCAACTTGTGAACCCAGAGAGCCCAAACCTCTATGGTTGCTTTAGGGTTCAGTTAAAGGAAACTACAGGTGGGGAGTTTAGGGTATATAGGGCTTCTATAAGGCTTCTATAAGGTATATAGACGTTCTATAAGGCTCCTGTAACGGTAGCTACCCACCTGAAAATGTCCTAGATTCAGGATTTGGGGTGATGATTCACGGGCTAAGTCCTTGTCACGGGGCCACGGGGCTCTCTGGAACATCAGCTTAGCATCGCAAGCCCGTGTTGCTTGATGGAAAAACGTGGCAAGCCTACGCAGCCCATCACAGCCCCATGAGAGCCCCACCCTAAACCCTAAACCCTACACCCTACACCCTGGTCTGTGGTAAATTGTTTCGACCCGATGCCCCGGATCAAAAGTTGAAACCAGGCCCGACATCATGTGGGGGTTTCCGATTATTAGGGGTACCTTATTTTGGGGTCCTTATAATAGGGATCCTACTATTAAGTTGACTATGTCAGGGTCCCCTATTTTCGGAAACCCCCATGTTAGCCCGACCACAAACAACTTGCTTGGCAAGGTGCGGTTTAGGGTTTTAGGGTTTAGGGCTTATGGGGCCGTTTTAGTGTGTCATACGCCATACCTCCCGATATGTTCGATGGCTTTCTGGACTCAGTCGAACAGGCCGAACAAACCGTTTAGACAGCCCTTACAAGAACTTCATACAAGCCGTAACGACGTAAACTTCTTGTCGAGACTTTGCAACTGTACTCCTGGGCCAAAGGTCCAAGATTTTCGAACTTCACATGCGAGAAGCCCCAAACTGCGCGAGAGTCCCCACACAGCCCAAACTAAACCAAGCCCAAAACTGGGGTTTAGGGTTTAGTTGGGTTTAGGGTTTAGGGGTTTAGGGCTTAGGGTTTAATCGACACCCTAAACCGCTGCACCCGTGGTTCTGGGCCCCCAGATGACCTTTCCTACCTCGAGCACTTGCTTCCTCGCCGCCGGGATCTCCGGGCAACCTCGCTCGCTTTGAAGGTTGGGGACGCCCCAAACGATTGATGTGAAGATGTGCATCAAAGGCTCACTTTGCTCAGCCAGCTGTCTTTGCATCACGGATTCTCGGTCACTTCTGGAATCGGACTGCAAGCAGTCTGATGAGATGGTGCAACCTTGGCTAGTCAGAAATCCGAGAACCTGACCCATTAATAATCCGCAAGTCCCAAACCCTAAACCCTGAAGCTTAGATCGTAAAGCCCTAAACCCAAACCCGGAACCTAAACAAGACCTGATAACCAAGAGTACAATAACGGGATCGCGCCCCAGTTTGAGACGTGGGATTTTGGGTTTCAGGTGAGAGCAGGGACTACTAGTGTTTCAGGGCTTGTGCCAAATAAACATGAGCTTTGGACAAATGCCGCTTTAAAACACGCAGCAGTGTACTGTTATCGCGAGGCTGCAGTATCATACAGACACATAATAGGATGATGGAACATCCACATGGCGCTGGTGGGCTGTGACTTCGAAACTGACTGTAAATACCTACCTGCATGCATGCACACGGAGTGGCGATTTACGTCTTGAGCAGCCCTGTATTAGCTAACATTGCCAGGATGTGTGTAAACACACAACTCTCTGCACAAATCTGTCCATCTGCCGGATTCTCTACAAACATATGTATGCGATTTAACCACAAACACATGCAGGTATCTGTACACACGAGCACACTCGTGCGATAGAGATAGCAAGCAAGAAATGGAAAGGCGATTCGAATTGTTCAGCACAATGACATCCCATGTACCCTCATATACGACGACAGGAGCACTTGCAAGCATTGTGTTTAGCTCCAGCATCTGCAGGATCTCCCCAAACCCTACAAAGGCCCTGAAACCCTAAACCCTAAACCCTATAAAGGCCCTGAAGACATCAGTCTTCCCCAGCAGCGCACCTCGTGCTCTGGTGATGGCTGTGAGCAGCAGACACAAGAGCTCGCGGCTCCATCTAGCCACCAGATGAAGCAACCAAGCAATAAGCATGCTAATGCCTCGGGGGCAGTTTTTCCTATTGCATTCGTTTATGTCATATTATATTGTATTCCATCATATTGTATTATACTATACTATATTCTGCTACATTATACTGCAGTATTTTAGGGCAGCTTTTGGGCTCTTGCTTCCCCAACACAGAAGAAGTTCTTCACTTGTCTGTCATAGCCGCAAAGAGAAAGCCATGTTCCAGGCTGGAGCTGTAGGCAACAGTCCCCATGGAACTTCCAATGCCGAAGACCACCGTGAGAGGCAGCATGAGCCTTGCCGTTGGTCTTTCTACTAAAGTTCAGCAGCACAAGAAGCAACGCGACAAAGAGCATGAGGTTCAGGGCTGACTTGGACAAGAAAACTCGTATTTCAGAATATCCGAGGGTCACGGCGGTCTGCAGATGATCCAATCTGCCGAAGCGCTGAGGTGCCAGACGATCGCAGAGGTGTGAGAACAAAACCTGAGCCATAAGCTTTGGGTTGGGGCACAAGCTACAAGAACAGATCCTTCGCCCAAAGCCCTCAATACAACACCGTATATTATAGTGTGATATAGTATAGCATAGCATAGTCTAGTATAGTACAGCATCGCATAGCATAGCATACATAGCATGGCATAGCACAGCATAGTGCAGTATAGTATTCATATAGTACATCAGAGTATAGTACACCGTAGGCCGTAGGATAGTATAGTATAGTATAGTATAGCATGGCATGAGATACATAAATAGATAGACCGATAGTCAGATACGTAGGTAGATAGATAGATAGATAGATAGATAGATCGATAGATAGAGGCTGAGCAAAACAGAGTAGCCACAAACTTAACATCAACCAAGGCACGATCAAGGCGCCAACCAAGAAGATGTCCACACCCACGAGGATCCCGACGGCAAAGGACACCAAACAGGCGGGTGGAGCACCGCCTTAATTCTTCAACAGCCGGGCCCCAAAAAACTGAACATTTCTAAGATGGACCAAAGACATAAGGTTAGGGTTTAGGGTTTAGGGTTTAGGGTTTAGGAATAAAAGTTCTCTCATGGGCTATCGAAGCCACCTTTCCACAAAGCTAGAAAGAATTCGAGGCTAGCGGTGATCAAGGAGGCGAAAACCAGCAGGAGATATGGCGTGGGGAAGCGACTGGTGGCCAGCAGCGGCTCCAGCTGCTGTCGCAGCTCGGTCTGCACAAACTCAGTAAAGGCCTCCTGCCAAGATACGCCGCAAGACAGGCAGACAGACAGGAAGAAAGACAGAAAGATTCAAAGATAGAAAGAACGATGGAAAGACATACGGACAGACAGACAGACAGACAAACAACGGACGGATGGATGGACAAACAAACAAATATACATCCACCCACCCAATGCCCACACATCCAGCCACCCACACACTCACACAAATCAACATAGGCACGAACATGCACAAGGCAGCCCCCGAGCCGGGAACTATGCTTCCCCTGTTCCCAACTACGTGTGGTGTGCATGCCACCGTCACATGCTTCCGAGATGAAAGATGCAGGAATTTCAGGCAACCTATATATGTCCTATGCGTGAACAGCCTTGTGGCATTGCGTTTGTGTTCCACCCTCATGCTTATCGACAACCGGCCTCATAAGCGGGCCATGTGAGTGCACAAACAGCCCTGTGCAAAAGGCACTATTGACTTGCCTGACCCGGCTACAGTCTGCAAACAGTGTGGGGGTTGTGCGTCGTGGTTGTGAACAGAGGGGGGCAGCACCTTTTGGTGGAACATGTCCAGAGTCACTCCCACCAACTGTGCGAATGCCCACTGAACCCACTCGACTTCTGCAAAAAAAAGAGCCGTAATACTAGTATACACATACTAATATACGCTTGTACTGAAACCAACGCTGATATATACTCTTGCTAATACTAAAGCAGATCTAGGGAGGTTATGGATCAACACGGCGGCTGTTAATTGACAAGTGGGTCCTGAACAAGACAAGCGCTGACACACGGAGCCTAGTCACAAACACAAACAGAACGTCATGTTTTGACCTATGCCTGAGCTTACCTTAAGAGAAACATTTCCTATGGGTGTAGCAAGGCCTAAATCCGACACCCTAAACCCCTACGGTAGTTTCGCAAGTAGTGTGGGCATGGCCGGCAAGTGAAGCCTGCTACATCTTTCTACTAATCTGGGCTTGTTCAATTGTACCGGTGGATGCCACATATGCAAAAACCTATAAAAGCCTGAACACGTTGTGAGGGGCCTCATTTCGAATACTATGACTACATGTGTGTAAAGCCGTAGAACTACCGAGGTGAGGGGGTTAGCATAAACGAGCGGGTGCACGAACATGCACGGAGGACTGCAGCCCGTAGAAATGCTTCGGCCACAAAAACCGGAATCTAACTCCTGCAAGCTTCATATTTTCCAAACACTACCCCGGGATATGGGTTGCGTCAGCTTCAATTTGCTCCTGGCTCCCGTACCACTTCTCGATCGCGGCAAGAATGAACTTTCCTTGCCACAGGCAGTCAGGGTTTAGGGTTTAGCCTGCTCTGCACGGAGACACACACCAAAGTTGCAATTCGGCAAAGTCTAGCATGAACAGGCAAGGACGGCTAAAGAGTAGCTGCTTGTCTTTTCCTTTAACTGCCATCCGCCTCTTTTCTGGTTGGCGCTGACTGTTCTTAAGACACGGAGCTTGCCCGTTCAAGCAAAAAGCCACGGACGTCATAAGGGACCAATACATGTACACGTTCATCCACAGGCCAAACATATACACACATACACATACGCATACACATACACTGTATGCCCACATGCACGTGTCTTCAACTACGGGGCTGAACGGGCCTCAGCAGTAAACCATAACTTCTAATATGGGGGCCTGAAGAATTAGAATAGGGTTTGGGGCACATTATACTATAAATTTCATAAGGAACCCGCAACATAGTACAGGTAACTATTTAGGCCCCTACATTAAGCCCTAAAGCCTGTTAGCCGTGGTTGTTCAAAACTGGCCGTCGCGGTGGAGCGTGCGCTGTACGGCCCAGAACCGGAAAAAAAAAAAAACTGCAAGGTGAACAAAGCAGTGGTGCACTGCATCTACACCCTAAACCCTAAACCCTAAACCCTACACCCTAAACCTTGCAAACCTCAGCCAGAGAATCTCGGCTATATCATCACTGTAATTACTCGCAAGCCAGGGCAGCGATGATGGCAGGTTTAGGGTTTAGGGTTTCGGGTTTAGGGTAACGACAAAGCTTGGGGCTCAGGGCTTGGGGTGCAAGGCCCCATGGACACAACCCGCCCAACACAAGAACGAGGATCTTAATAGGTAGAACTAGAACAAGGTTTTGGGTGTATAGTAGGGTGAAACTTTTTATTGAGGAGCCCGAGGACATAGGAATGCATTGATTGACTTCAACCGCCAAGTTTTCCCCAAGCCGAAGGACGCCTCGCAGGGCCCACCCAAACCATGAACATCAGCCTCCCCTGGGCAAGACCATTAATACTGATAGTAACAATAATAATAATAGTATCAATAATAATCACGATAGTAATAATAATATGATAACAGTTAGAAGCTAGAAGCAACAATGATATTGGTATTCAAATTACTACCCGTGTGAAGTTGCAGGTTCACATGGCAACTGTGGTTGTGAGCAGCAAGATGACCAGCATCCGTCATCCTGACTACCATCACCCTCGTGTTGCATTGGCCTTCCTGTCAGAATTGTCACCGCCAGGTAAGGTAGCAGCAATATGTTTTGGAAGTCTCGTGAATTTCAATCATGTCGTCTGCTCTTATACCCGCCACAGCGCTTGACTCATATCTGGGTCCTTGTCGGCTACAACTTTACGTTTTGGTCATAAAAAAACCCAACAAAGATTAAACATGATCATTCTTTATATAATATAGCCCCAACAAAGAACAAGAGAACCCTAAACCCATCGACCCTAAACCCCAAAGACTGGGCCCTTACCCATCTATCCGGTTTATGTTGCCACCAAGGATCGGTCGAACTCCTTTGCGCAAGAGACCTTGCTAAGGTCAAAAGTCTCCAACTCCTGTCGCCTGGGCCGTGCAGTATGAGTACAAGGTCTATATAACGTCAATGATCTATGTAAGGGCTTAGGGTTTCGGTTTTCCTCGGAGGGCAAGACCCACTGAATGAACACTTACACAGCTGCATTCGCACATGAAGAGTTCGAGCGGAACTCTCGAGCCTCAGAGTTTGGCATTAGCGCCAGTGCTTCTGTTGCTGCTGCGGTTACCGTTCCTGCTAATGCTGCAGCTACCACCATGACGATTACTGGTGACTTTCAATACTTGCTTAGGTTTGGGCTGTCTAGGTCAAGGTTTGGGCTGTGCGTATACATACCTTCATGTTTCGATTTCAGTCAAGCAGAGTTTCGAGAACATTATTACATAAACTATAGTATAGCTATACAGGGGCCATAAAGGGATACTCCTACTCCTAGTAATCATTTGGCCGCTGCATTACAGCTGCCATTCTGATAGCCCTACCTTTTGCCGAGCAACAGCATGTGCTTCTCCCGGAAATTTCTCCTGAACACGGCCACACCCCCGGCACTCCCGAAGTGCGGAACGTAGACTTAGTCAAAGCCTCCAAAGCTGGACCCTAAGCCAGTTCTCCTTAGGAGAACTGCAGCAATGCTGTACGGAATGACGAAGAGCGCATAGCCAACATAGGCCATGGAGGCCCCTCCGCTACCAGACCTGCCGGGGGTCAGCTTCGAACCTTACAATTTTAAAAGTCAGGGTTTTAAGTACTCTAGTTGGTATTCTGAAGAAATGCAGCTATACTGAGCCTACTCTGATAACCCGACTTTCGACGTCTCCTGACCCTAAACCCTAAACCCACTGACCCTTGAAGTAAACAGCCCAAAACCCTGAAAGCTCCCAATTCGGAAGCCCAGAAGTCTTAAATTCATGCAGGAACCTGATTAAGAACCCCTGGTCCCATAACCACAAAATACGAGGATCCATGGTTTAGGGTTTAGGGTTTTATGACGACCCAAGGTAGCCTTGCATGTGTGAGCAGTCGTCCAGCCGCACGAGGATCCAGTCTTCCTCCTCCCTTGCAGGCTGCATCATGACACAGCGCCCTGTATTTTCGCCAACAGTGCATGCACCCAGGTATCTGATGCCTCGGCCCTGGCCGCCTTGCATCGATTCATCTCCAAGTGTGTAAGTGAAGGCTGCATGATGGATCCGGATGTCGGGACCCACATCACAGCGGAAGTTGTTCAGAACCAACTCCGAAAACCCTGGCAAGGTTCTGCCAAGCTGCTAAGTGCCTTCGTGGTCCATACACCAGCTCGATTTAGGGCTTCGGGGCTTTGGGGTTTTAGTGCAATTTTAACGTTGTGGGGTTCAGGGCTTTAGGGATTTACGTTCTCTGGTCGGATGTTTGAGGCTTTGACTCTTCGGGGTTTAGGGTTTTGGCGAGGCTTCAGGGTTAAGGACCCACCACGTAACCCTAAACCCTGGAGCCAGAAGCCTCAAATACTAAAGCCAAAAACCCTTTGCCCCAAAACCCCCCCCCCCTAATCCCCAAACCTGAACCCTAAATTTCTAAAGCCTTAAACTCTGAACCCTTAAATTTTAAAACCTGAACCCTACATTGCTAAAGCCTCAAAGCCTGAACCCCAAAACCACCCAAATCCCTGGACTCACCAGGGCTTATAGGGTTTAGGGCCTGTAGGGTTTGGGGTTTAGGGTTTAAAGCGTAGGACGTTGGGTTTAGGGCTTATAGGGCTGAGGGTTTAAGGTTTAGGGCTAGGGTTAGGGTTAAGGGCTTAGGCTTTGGCTGGGGTTTAGGGTTGTGAATGTTCAGGGTCTAGACCCCTAATTACTGCCCCCATACAATAACTCTGAACCCTACGCCGAAACCCTCAAGCCTGCACCCTACACACCCAACCCGGTTTGCAGGAGTTGAAGACCTCGAAGCTTTTGGCTTTAGGGGTTCAGGGCTATCCATCTTCTAAACGACATCAGGCCATGTTGATGGGACACGTTTGCCCAAGGTCGACATCACAACCTGCCGCTCCCGACTTTTGACCCTGAATCAGCTAAACCCGAGGCCCCCGCCAGCCTTACCAACACGAAGCAGAGGCCAAAGCTTGCACCAGAGAGCAGCAGTATGACCAGGATCCTTTCCTGCAAGGAGGATGCACGATCTTGGGTGGGGGCTTTAGGTTTTTGTGCAGTTTTCGGTTTGGGGCCTTCAGGGTTGAGGTGTAAAAGTCCGAAAGCACAACGCCTATGGGCCGAGGCTGGCGCGAATTTTCAATTTTGTACTATCTGAATTTATATAGCATATTGTTGGGCTATATATGGTACTGTTTTATGCTATGCATACTTTTGTAATCCAATAAACATATACACAATGAGGACTGAAAGAACGATTTTGGGGTTAGAACTTGGGGTGCGGTGTTTAGGGAATCCAGTGTGGTGTTTCAAGAGTTGTGTTTGGGCTGCTGGATCGTAGCCATAGCTTGAGAGCAAGAGTGGTGTGCCGGGTTAGCAGTGTGCAAATGCCGGGAAAACAGTGTGCGAATGCCAGCTACGATCCACCAAAGCCTAAGCCAAAAACCCTACAATGCCACAAAAACTGAGACCCCAAAGCTCCGTAAACCCTGAAAGCTAAAACCCCCTTACTCTCTAAAGCAGTACACCCTGAACCCTAAACCCCCTTTTACTCTCATCTTGAGTCCTACGACCTAAGCTTCTTGCCAGAGCCAGGGTTCGACGAAGAGCGGCCGGAAACTGATCATGCCACACGGATTGACCTGCTAGGGTGTACCTTAACAAAAGGTAAGTTTTGTGGGGGCTGCGGGGCTATCAACCCCACAAGACCTAAACCTCCTAAATGTTACGGGTTCCTTGCTGTGATTTCCCTGTGCAAGTCCCTAAAAAGATAAGTTTTGTAGGGGCAAGGTCGGGCTTCGGCCATCCTAGACATGACGACACTTAAGGATTTGGTTGAGCTGAGGAACTAATTCTGGCACTCACGACAAGCCCAACCATGATTCCTGAAATCACTAAATACGCTGGTTTCGACTCCAAGACAGGCCCACCTTCTTGTATGCTGCCAGCTCGAAAACGCACCAAAGACGAGACCTGGGCAGCATGTTTCGCATGTTT